AGGTGGCTGGCACTCACTGCACTCTGTCCTGCTGGAAGCGTGCTGCCTCTGTGCTGGCCAGCTGGTGTAAAACTGCCTTTGATTTATGGCTTCAGCCTGTGTGATCCTTGGCTGGAGTGGGATATGTGCTGAACCTCACAGGCCAGCTAAATGTAGGGCTGTCAGAGTCTCTAACCCTTCTGCTGTTCATTTTCCTTATTGTCTTAGAGGGAAGGTAATGAAACTGAAGATTTCTCCATGTGGCTATGACTTCACACACGGAAACTGTGAGACCAAAATGCCCTAAGACAAACACAGCAGAATGTCATGAATGGGAACTGATGCTTGGCTGCTCTCTGGATCCTGTGACTGAGTCCCACACTGAACTTCTGTTAACACTAATTCCCATGCATTTGGAGCCCAGACAGGTTAGACTCCTGTGCTGGCACTTCTCAGATTGCACCATAATCAAGAGAAACCAGACTAAAAATGTGTGCAGTAAAACCAGTTCACACAAACTGCAGCATTTTAAGCCCTACAGGAAATCATATACAGTGTCAGAATGGCAAGAATCACATATACCACAAAGCAAAGACATCAGGACTGATTTCACTAATGATAAAGTTTCTTGAATATCTGGTAATTAGTCTTAGTTTGGAAGGACTGTAAAATGTTGGCCTATAGATCCTATTCCCTTTCACTCTAGTAAGTATGTATATGCCAAGAGACCTTTTTTTCTACAGCTCCTCAGTTGCTTTTCATGAAGTTTAAGAGAAAAACCTATTTAAAGCTGTACATCCCACTTAGAAAAAAGTCAAAATGTCAAAAAGCTACATTATGCTGAGATGTAACACAGAAAAAGTTTTAGCCTTAAGCAGGGAATAATCAAAAAATAAGTTCATCGACAGAGATTAAGTATGATTCTGCATTTCAGAGTTTGGAATTTATCTGATGACTGCTTATACATACCTACCAGGCTGGAATATTAAGTGCCAATCAACCAAATATCTGTGGTGCTGAAATAGTTTGATTCAATAGGTATTGAAACCACCATATAGAATGGAAATAATCAGTTTGCCTAATAAATCTTACCACTTTCTTGGGGCTAAAAGTGCAAAATCTCCTCTCTGATGTCTACTTCCCTTTTCATCAAAACAACAGTTCCTCTATTTCTCAGCATTATTCCATGTAGTTCCATTCCAAATACTTTGGTATTCATTCTGATTGTAATGTGAGTAATCACTGCATTTCTACTTGGTGAATTTATTATTAGAATTTTACAGCAGCTCTTGTATCAGAGTTATTTTAAGCATATATTGGTTGTAGCACTCATTGAAGCTTCTCATATTAACAATACTGAGGTGAACACACATCTAAGAGCACCAGCCTCATGCACAAGAATGCTGCTAGTAAAAGCGATACATATGATAACACTTCCAAAAATAGTGTTTCACCAGTGTTACTTCTGAGCAACAAAACTCCCCCAAGAGACTTGTAAACATCATACCCACATTAGTAGTTGAGTCATGTACAATCACATCACAATGTGCCAGGTCTAGGCAAAACTTTTGAAAAAGTCAATATTTTATTTCACCTTCATAAATATAAATCCAGTCCAGTAAAGGCTATCTTAGCAAGCAGGCTAGTATAAAAGTAGTAATAATTTTTAAAACATCCCTTTCTGCGACATCAGCTGTTCTAAAATGACTAAGCTGAGTAACAGTCAATTGGGATAACTTGGTTGTTATTTTGATTGATAGACTTCTATAGCAGAGCTCTGAATTGAGGCAGAGAACAGGCAAGCTCTATTTATTTTAATAATAATTTAAAACTATTATTCTCAACAAAACTCTTCTTATGTATTTTATAAGGATGAACTGTTTTGCAATTATTATCATAAATCTTTCAGAGAGAAGGAAAATATTAACACTATCAATATGCACTCTTATTTATAAACAGTCATTTCATTTACAATCCATAAGGAGTATTCAAGCTATTATAGAAGCATGCTTTAAATCACAATTGTCTTTAAAATGATGAGTCATTTAAGTTTCAGCTAAGACAGCTCAGTTTGTACAGCTGTCAGCTGGGGCAATGAGGTGGGATACACACACAAGCCACCCTTTCCCCCTGAGATTTTTTCAGGTATATTTTTTAAGTGTCTTGTCACATTTCACTTTAGCACGGGTGCAAGAGGAGGAGCTCAAATTAGGTCAGGTTCTCTGAGAATTGCCAGATAAGTCACTCTAGAGAGGAGATCGGATTTTTCTTGTTTGATTGTTGCAGTGCTCTGGGCTTCTATCAAGTATAACACTTCTATCAAGTATTATCCATAAAATGAAGTTGGTTTATTGCATTTCACTAAATTTGCTAAGATTATTGTTCTTCAGAGGATTTACATCACTGACAGCTATTGCACAGCCCTTTTTTCATAGTAGCCTGAAAACCAGGTTGGAGTACTGAGTGTACATCTCTTCCCTACATGGATGCAACTCTCTTGTACTGCTGTAGCTGGTGCAAATTTGAAACCTGTGGAAGTGAAGTAGCAGTGCTCTGAGTTGGGCACTCCAGGCAAAGCCACTGCTCCCATCCTGATGCTGTCTTGCTCTACATGCTGATGAAAAAAAACAGAGAATGCTGCAACTACATTACTGCCACCTTTTCCATTTCTCAGTAGTAATTTCCCATGAATGCAACTTAGCTTACATTGGTAATAAAAACAAACAAGCAAATAAATAAATAAATCTATAAATAAATGCAAGTCTCACTTCAAGAAGTTGCACCAACCCCTATTTTAAATAATCAAACCTTTAAAATGAGATCTATTCAAAAGCAAATATTATTTCCTTACAAAATTTAAGAGACCTGAAATATCCTAAGCTTCTGAACCTCTACAAGATCTTGGGTAGAAAACAAGTTCATGGGTTAGTAACCTTAGTAGCCTGTTTTCCACAGCAGCTTCCAAATTTTCTCTTCCCTTATGTTAAAATGGATCTTGCTAGGAATTCCCAAATGAGAAGTAAAAATGCATTTAAAATACAGGAATTATATAAAATGAGAAGAAATAGATATTAGTTCTACAGTTTTTGAAGGTTTCAAGCCTTTTTCTCATTTGGTCCTGGCACAGTGCAAAAACCCACAACCAAATGTAAATATTTACTGCAAAGCTTGGTTTTGCATATCCAAAAGTTTTAAGGATGACAGACAAAGGTCTTGTCAATTCAATGTGAGAGCCCAGAAAGGAATAGCCCTTCTTTGTTGTAATATCCAGTGCATAATAATGGAGTAAATAATTTTCCTATTAAAATATATTAAAATACCTATTAGTTTTCCTTTCTACTATCTTGGATCTGGCCCACACCATAAATAAGAGATTTGCATGAAGTATATAGTATTCATAAGAATGCATTTACTATCACTTTCATTACCTTTAGAGTTTCTTCAGACCATAAATATATTCTCAGGGCAAACAGGCAATATACAGGTAGTGACACTACTAAAGGTGTTGGTATTTTCAAATGATTTATTATATGAAATGCTATTTTCTGTGACTTTATGAGTAATATATATCTAACCCAGAAAAAAATTACAATATACTAGATTACAGATACTAGATACTAGACCAGCCATATCATCAACTTCTGTTCTATTGTTTGCAACTAAAAGATGTCAAGAAACAATATCTAAAAAATTCCATGGTTTACAAACCAATGAGCTTATTTTATTCTAAACCCACTAACTTGTGTCATGAGAAGTATAGGAATTACACTTCTTAAGGAAATGCCTTTTAAGGATTTCACATTAAACATTTACATGTGATTAAATACTATTGAAACATAGCATTTCTTAGGTGAACAGAAGTAATTCACAATTACATAGCTGTTTACAGCACAAAAGATTACCTTTCATTGTACCACAGCAAAGTATGAGTCATAAGGCAAATAAAAACTTTCCCTAGAGGAACCAAATTTTGAACATTTTGAAAAAAGTCAATAGGAACAAACACTGCTGCAATAAGCCTGATGAATACCCTCCATTCTGTTGTGTAGCACCTCTGTGAATGCCAGCTAGTTGTAATAGCCTGAAAAAAACTTTGAGAAAGCATGTGATCAAAGTAACAAAAGCAAGTGAAACAGCAGAGAAGAATGTATGTGTGAACTTCCAAAGATTCAACTTTCATTTTCTACAGAGGAAGTATAATGCAATTTTCTACATTCACAACTATAAACATTGGTAATTTTTTGATAGTAAGAAAAAAGCAATGGATAATCAGGGTGAACTGCTTCCTACAGTGATTCTTTAAGGGGCTCTGAAAACTGTTTTAATTAAAGGATTTGTGATTTATAATTTTTTTTTGTATTTAAATAAATGCACTGAGATCACCTTTGAAATATATTCGGTTTTTTATTGTATTCGCTCACATTTACCTTTAATTTCCTCCTGGTTTCTCCTCAGGCAATCTCTGAAGTGTAAGGGGCTATTGCTTCAGCTGAGGACACATTCACTCAGATAAAGAGACATCTTACAAACTTGGCATTTTAAAGCCTGTGTTCCAGACTTATGAACAGCTTTGTAAAGACAAGGAGTTCTATCCAAATAGAAAACTTTATCTGATGGGCACATTTTGGCATTAACAAAAGCATGGAAAATATAGTCAGATCTGTGCAATGCAGGAAGCTGAAGGAATTTCTTGATAGCAAGTAAACTGTTAACATATGAATATAAAATATCATTCTTTGAATTTCAGATTTTCAAACAAGCTTATAAATGAGACAGAGTCTGGGTACTTCACATATTGACATAGCTTTGGAAGAAATTAAGATGGTAGTAAGTAGAGTTTGAACTTTTTATTTTTATTTTTCAAAAATGCTTCCTTGTTTAAACTTTTAACATATAAATCTGTAGCTCTAGTGGTTTTTGAACAGCATAAGTTGTACTAATTTGCAGGGATGTAAACTGGCTGGGAGTGTTTAAAATAACTGTGCAATATTTGTCTCATCTCATTCTTTTCCCTTCTCTAGAGTCTGTAACAGCAGTTTGACAGAGAATATTGTGCATACTTGGAACTCTATAAGGCTGTATGGAAATGACAAATTCAGGGTAAGGTTGCTATTATATTAATATTTTTTTAGACTTACATAAACTTGTTAAATTACTCTATTTGATTGGTAAGCTCCCTAAATTCAGCTTCTGTTACAGTCTGAGCAATTCAGAATGTTATCTCAATGATTCAAGACCTAGAAATCGAGAATTTTCTCAGGGCCAGCCAAGACATGCTTCAAAATTGCCCAATTTCTGAACTATCCCCTGATCAAGGTCACTGCCTTTCCAGAGATGGTTGGGGGAAAACCATAGATCCATATTCTTAGGCAAGATATCTATTGTGTGAAGAATGTTACTGGAGATATTTCCTTGTTTCTTTTATCAGGAGGAGCTTGAGATCCCTGTTTCCTACTCCCCAAAGGACTATGCTTACCTCACACTTACTAGCAGCTCTGAGGCATGGCATTCCTCTATTCTCTTCAGAACTCCATAGGAATTAATTTAAGGTTATAGGCTGGAGAAAAAGAAAAGAAGGAATGTGATCTGCAGGTGGTAAAGAGTTGGGAGTTGTGCTGCCCTTGAGAGGAATCTTGATGGGCTGGAGAAATTGGCAAACAGGAATGTAATCAAGTTCAAAAAATCAAAATTCCAAGTCCTGTCCCTGGGGAGGAATAACCCCATGCACCAGTAAAGGCTGGGATCAAACTGGAAATCAGCTTTGCAAAGGAGACTTTTGCCCTTTTGTGCTGTAAGGACAGGTTGCTGGCTCATGTCTAGCTTGTCCATCAGCATTGCCAGCATTGCCTCTCTCCTCAGCCCTGATGAGACATATCTGGAGTGCTGGGCCCAGTGCTGAACTTCCCAGGACTAGAAACACATGGAAATACAAGGCCAGCAAAGTTTACAAAGATGCTTAAGGTCTTGTAGCATTTGCTGCATGAGGAGAAGCTCAGAGGGTGGGGACTGTTCACCCTCAGGAAGAGGCCTGGGGGCACCCTAATCCATGGGTATGGATATTTGAAGTTAAACTGTTGTTGTGCAGAAGATGGGGGCAGACTCTTCTCAGTGGTATTTAGTGACAGGACAAGAGGTGAAGTGCACAAATTGAAGCAGGGTGTCAGGGCACTGGCATAGGGTCCCCACAGAGGTTGTGTAGTCTCCATCCTTGGAGATGCTCAACACTTAGCTGGACATGTCTGTGGGAAACCTTGTCTAGCTGAGCCTGCTCTGAGCTAGGGTGGTTGGACTAGAGAATCTCCAGAGGGGTTTGCCACCTCAGCTCTTCTTTGGCTGTTACTCTTCAGCCTGGTGGCCAGTTTATCACTTGGGGATTCTAGTCTTTGCTCCAAGGAACAGCAGTCTCTGGAAATGAGACTAACTAGTTTTGGATTAGGTTTTGAGTATTTTGATCTGCAATTACATTTTATACAACCTGGCAGAATAGCCTCCTTTAACCAATCTCTAACAGAGAGGAGTGAGCAGACACAAATCTTTGATAGAAAATGTGTGCACTATCTGGAGAGGATTACATCCAATTCTTTATATCCAGACTGGATTATTCCTGCAATCTCAATGGCCTTTAAACTCTAGAGAAAAAGATAGGATTAATATATTTTGCTACCTTTTACATTATCCATATCTAGAAACAGGTGGTTTCTGTGCAGATATTTGGGGCTTTTCACTGACAATTCTTTTCTGTCCTACTGCCCTTGAGATCCCTTACAAAGTCATGTGCATAGATAAGACCACGGAGCTAAGGAAGTTTCTTTTGCTGTATCTAACAAAAATTGACAAACTTTACCAACCCTAGGGGTTACTTGAAGCACTCAAAGATGCTGCTGAAAACTGGCTGTAGGACTCCATGTTTTGAGCTTTCTGTTGAACTCCAGTAGAAATTCTTTCCATTTCTTTACCATTCTGCAGAATTCAGCTGATGAGATAATGTGAGAGACAAGACATGGAAAAAAACTCATTTGTGAAGGAACTCTCTTCATTTGATTTTCTCTGAGAGAGCCTGATTGATTATTCTCTCATTTAAGTAGATAATATGGAACACTGTATAAATAGAGTGAAAATAGTAGATGTAGCCAACAGGCAGAGTTAAAGACAAGCACACTAGAGCCCAAACTGTTACATTACTATTGATGATTATTATCTAGCATCACAGACATATCAAACACTGCTGCTTCCCTGTAACTGCATGGGAAATTGTTTTGTCTTATTTGTCTTACATTCATAGACCTCAAAACCCTAAGGTCCCATTCACACTCTAAGGTGCAGTACTAAGTTTGCTTTCAACTCTTTTTTCTTTCTTCTTTTTTTTTTTTTTTTTTTTCCCTTGGAGCAGATTAATTATGGTAGATATATTTGTAGCAGCCTATCTGTCACCAGAAACTAATAACACATGGCAGCTAGAATGGTGGTGGTAGACTTACTGGAAGGGTATTACATGATCTGGTTAAACTTAACAAATTGAATTTCCTTTTATTTTGTTAAAAATCAGTTTCACAATGGATTAGCTAATGAAGTGTCCTTGCAGTGACTGAAGGATGTAAACCAGATATAGGGTTTTTGAGTTGGTCTGTAGTAGAGATGTTTATATCTCACATTTTAAATAGACATAGGGGATAAATGAACATGCAATGTGTTTTTCATCAAACATACTGCCTAGGAACTTTGAGTACTTGAGAAACAGTGCTGGTTGCCAGCTGTATTTCAGATGATCTCCTTATCATGTAGATCTCAGTAACAGAGGCACTGTGCAGACTTAGGAGTTTTGTAATAAAGAATCCAAAAGCCTGTGTTGTCTTTTGTTTAAAATAGAATTAAGCAGAAATTACTGCTTTTAGTAAAATTTTGCCAATATAAAACAAAAAACCTGAGAATTCAGAAGTGGTTTATTCTTTACATGCTGCAAAGTCTCACTGATTTTAAGAGCATTAGAGAACAAAGTCTTGAGTCTGACATCTGATGATGTTTTGTAACTATGAATATAGTGAATATAAATGTCTCTTCTGCCAAAATATTGTGTCTTACCATGTGAACCACCTGGTGGTGGTGGAATTTCCCTGGGGAACAAGCTTGGCAATTCTTTGTAAAAGGTGGCTATTTCTGAAATAAGTAGCAAAAGACAAAAGTGCAGAAAACAGGAAAGGGCCTTTTTACTATTCAAATAGCCGTTTTGAATGTATAAAAATGTAATTCATGAGAAAGCCAGGGACATGAAGGTTTGTTCTTAATGTCTGAGACACTCTTTGTGTTGTGAATTCTGAAGGGAAAAGTATAGACTATTTCTTACTTGAAATCAATACAAGATGCTCAAAAGCAACTCTTGTTATTGCTGTAGTTTACATTCATACCAGAACTATAAACTGCAAGAGTGTATTGCGAGTACATATCTACATCAAGTCATCAGCAATTTTCAGTTTATATTGCCTAAATCAACTATTTATCCATTATTAGAAACTGTTTTTCTGTGTCTTCATCTGTAATACTAGTAGGCTGCAGAAATGAAAGGGGTCAGCAATTGTTTTACTGAGAATGTTCAAAACATTAGGCACATGCCCAGGGTCAGCTAATATGTCTCAGCTGGGAAGCAATAGCTTTAAAAGAGTGATTGCAGATGTGCAGAAGACCTGATCACTTGCAGTCTAATGTAAACTGGTGAATACCAGCATTGTTATTTACATCTTGACATTTAAATTTTTTGTTGGGGGTTTAGTTGTTTCTTTTTTTTTTTCTTTTAAAGCTGATGTATACTTTCTAATAACAAAATAAAACAAGTTAAAAAACCTCAAGCAACAAGCCAACCAACCAAAAAAAAAAAAAAAGTAGGAACCTCTTGCTCTATTTATGCTTCCTCAGAATTCAAACCATCCTTTCTGAAGTCTCTCTTGCCCATCATCCAACACACACTATAGTAATGAAATGTCTCTTAAAAAATCAGGTTTTCTCGACCAATACTTAAACTTTACACACAGCAGGAATTATATCGGTGGGAGAAAATAAGTGAGAGAAAGGGAAGGAAACAGAAAGATCCGCTTCACTCAAATTTTAATTATTTCTAGAAAACTCTCTTGCATGAGCAGGAATCCTAGTCAAGAATGAGGGTTAATTGTGTGCACTCCAACCTAAGAATTTTGATGGTGTATTAAAATGTTACACGCTAGAAAGGAATTTACAAATAGTCATGTGCTTTCTTAGTCTACCCTAATAATGCCAGAAACATCAGATATTCAGTTACTCTGTTGTCTAGACAAATGGCATATTGCTAATTGCAAGTACAAAAAGCCAATTTGAAAACTAGGTTTTATGGTAGTAGGAAATGATAGAAAATGGACTATGCTCTCACAAGCCTTTTTTCATCTAATTACTTGAGATGGAATTTACATCCTGCACACAAAGTTACACTGATTTCATCAACTATGAATATGTATTTTCCAAACTACATGCCTATGAACATACAGATCATATTTTCAATGCCTGTCTCAAGTTTAAGAGTTATTGAAAGTCATCTGCTTTGTAATATGTGAATAATTTCCAGTGCTAAAACTTCCTAGCCACAATATTTTCCAGCAAGTTTTGAGAGAATTGGGTGGGGTTTGTGTTGGTCAACAAGAAGGTACTGCAGTGAGGATAGAATAATTCTTTATGTATTTGTTGTTAGTTTTGCCGTTTGCACCTGTACACATTACACATCCATAAGAACTTTTTTCTGGACAGTTCCTTTTTCTGGTTTTCCTATTCTGTATCAGTTTTGCCCTGTTTGTCTCAAAGTGAAAAGGGAGATGCTTTGCATGTCTGCAGGATGAAGAATCACTGTCGAATTTACAGCACATTGTCACTTGTGTTCATTTTCCCATATTACAGAAGAGATCTTATTGTCCTCTTATTGTATTGACCTCTGAAACCTAGTGCAAAAATATCATCAGTGATGTTCTGGAGTGTAACAGAATGATTTTAACACACGTAGGGCTTCTCATGTGGATAGAACCTGGGAAAATAATTGCCTTCATGTATATAGCACAGTGTGGATGTTTTCTGAATGCTGCCATGTT